TAGTTGGACATAACCACTAGACATAACCCCCGAGCTCGCCGTCGGCGGTCTCGAGGGCGCCGTCGGCGGACCTTCTTAATGAATTAATTATGGAGTCTCAGGAAAATCTCGCCGTCGACAGGATCGATGGCGCCGTCGGCGCCCTGGTTCAATTCTTCATATTTTGGTCCTTTTCGCTCCAAATTCGCTCTTTTTTTCATCTTTTTGCTCCAATGACCCTATTTCATCATTCCTGCAACAAAACATCAAAAATATCTTTCTTTAAAGTGCAATATCATCAAAAACAATATAAAATAAGTATGAAAATCTTAGCATATTTTCCTTTGGTCAGTACATCTATGATGATTGATATGTAACTTCATTTTCCCTAATTCAAGAGAAAAATAGCCTCTATGACAAGTTGGCGCTACTACCAATATCTACAACATTCACGTTAGATTATTACCTCCTTAGAAACTAACTTCATCTCTTGTAGCCTACTATTATCGATAACTATAGGTAGATTATGGCTATTATCAATGAAGCATTGTTGTACATCTATGATGACCAACTTTGAAACTTCATTTTCCCTAATTAAAGAGAAGAGTGAGCATATGTACGTACAATTACATGATAAGTCTCAATAGATGTAAGCTTAATAAGGAACAAGCCTCAAAAGAATCAAAAGTTAATAAGCTTCTACTTGAGGCAACACTTGAATTAAACTATATTTTATTCGAGACTTTTGACAGATTTATCTCCTTTGAGTGGCAAGTTGTGTGGAATCAATTTTCTTACATCAAGCAAAAAAAGAACTACACCCACAGGCTTAGAGATGTACAAACAAAAACAATAATATATAATATCAAGTAAAAGAAAGACGTGCAAACAAACACACATCAATCAATGATTGCATCAGTCTGACCAATACAACAAAATTTCAATAAAAATGTTAGAAAAAGTATAAATAAAGATGTTAATACATTTCAACATTATCCTCGTCATTAGTAGTAGGCTTCTTTGAGCCACCTTTAACTTCTATGAATGTCAAGTTAGGAAGGGGAATAGTTCGCTCCTATATAAAGGCAACTCCTAAGGGATTGCAACCGCATATTCTTATCTTCAATGGTCAACATTCTCACTTGGAAAGCCTGCAATATATTTGTTCTCTAATCAAGCTCATTAAGTCTTAAATTCTTTTTGAGCACCCATTAGTTCTCAGTTGTTGGGAGAAGAAAATCACCATAAAAGATAAGTTGTCACCCTTTGCTAACTGATTCACCAACAAAATTATTTCAATCACCCAAGAGTTATTAATCTTCTTGTACTCATAAAAGATGTGTTCAATCTTTGCAAACTCGGTATTTCATACCTTTAAAGAAAGAGGCTGCACATTTTTAAATGATGGCAGTATCTCCTCCTGCAAATTTCAGCACTTCCATTAGTTTTTCAAGATTTTAAGGTTCCCCGCATGTCATCATCTCAGCAACATTGAAGCATATCACAGATCTCTTGCTAGTCATGTCAGGAAAAACTTTCTTCTCCATATAGAAAATGGAATATCAATAGGAAAGAAGATATTGTATCTCCTCCTAGGTAAGTCAAGGGCAATAGCCCTCTTCATCCAAAAAAATGTGGCAACAACACAAAAGAAGATCCTAGATTTCCACAAAGTAAGTCGGGACAACTTTTTCTTTATAGCAACAAAAAGAAAATATAGAGCATCTGCTAGGTAAGGTTAAAGGCAACATTATTCTCCCACTTCTCTTCCTCCTTTTTGGGTTGATCTCCCCCTCTTTAGGCTTGAGTTGGTCTTCTCTTGCTCCCCCATCTTCCACCGATTTAACAACCTTTTTTCTTCCTCCTCGCCTCTTGGACTTGGGCTTGGGCTCCTCCCTTGGATCACCACCCTCCTTCTCTCCTCCCGTATTGAGTTTCCTCCCTTTGATCTCCCTCTTTTTGCTCCACTTCTCTCCCTTTGTTCGTTGAGAATCCTTTCACCCTTATGTTCTTTTTTATAGACCCAAGAGACCCAAATATTATTTATTTTGGATCCAAATCTAGCCAATTTGTTTAATATGGATCCTTGGATTCACCTCCTAATCAGACTACCTGATTTAGTACTTTGGATCCTTTTGTTCCATCTTGGCTCTCTGACCCACCACTCAATGCACTGTCTAAACCCGATCGTCCAATTCTATCCCACAGATTATGGGACACACAGACTCGATCTTAAGCATGTTCCAAGACCCACCGAATCAACCTATTGTCCGTTGTGCAACCCGTTGGAATGTCCACTTGTCTGAATCAAGCTTGATTGACCAAGAAAAAAATAAATATAATTAAGGGTGAATTCAAGGCTAAAAAATAGGGGCTTGTGTCGGGTAATTGGGCAATTGATATGTTACCGACAAATTTTCATCATCCAACTTAAATTTTGATGCATTGTAGGAATCTCAAGGTAAAATCTTGGGCAATAAAAGTTCAGGCATTGAATGGAAGTCATCCACAACTTTTATTTCAACAAAATTATAATTAAATGAATCCATGTCAAATCAAGCAAAAAATTAAGCCATTAAACTACTTTTGGAAGCTTTCGGGCCAATATTGGGTGGTTAAATGGATTCAACTTTGACAAACTTATAGCTAAATCGAGCTTCTCTATAGACAAATATAACGACCCATAATCGCTCAATTTAGACATGATTAAGGCAATCAAATGCCCATCAAATATTTTCTAATCAAGGTGATCTCTCCAAGTCATTCTATCAGAATGATCCGGATTATTTTCTTATTTACAACATAGACTCTATAAATAGATCTGTCGGCACTATTTTTGGTGTGGAGATTGCCAGTAAGAAGCTGTCGGCACTATTTTTGGTGTGGAGT